CAATTTTTTAATCACGTCTGACTTGAGTGACGACGACCACGGTGTCTGCGGCGACTTTCTTCACTCATGGCTCCCGCACTCGGCCACTCATCAAAAAGTTGTGACCCTCGAGGGCCTCTTTGGACTTCATCTGCTCCCGGGTTTTCGAACTCGTTTTCAGAACGAGAAACTCGTGAATATCGGAGCTTTCGATGCGTGGCCACAACTCCACATCACGTACACAGTCGCCCGCACGAAGCGTGAATGGGTCCACTATTATAGGAGCGAATTTTCGTCTCTTCTTCGTACCGCTCGTAGTCTTTCTGGCACAGCGCTGCGATGTAGTCTTCCGGTGAGGCTGACATCGTGCTCGACACTTCTTGGAGTTAAATTTGCGTCGCCACGTGGAACAATCTATTTGGCGAGAAGCTGAGAAATTAGGACGCAGTGTGTGCTTCCAGAAGGGAAAAGCTGACTGGTGCTGCAGAGACGGTTATTCTATGTGTTTGTCAAGAAAGTAGGAAGCATTGGCGTAACTAGAGAATATTGGCGCCCGTGGCAATTACTCTTCATAGTAATAATTGGGATTATTATTATTATTATTATTATTATTATTATTATTATTATTATTATTATTATTATTATTATTATTATTATTATTATTATTATTATTATTATTGAAAAAGCCACCTGGATGGGCAATCGAATGAGCAATTCCTTGATTGTTCACCATTGTTCATCAACATGGAGTATTCGGGGAGTAGTTCTGCTACACAACAATAATCGTCATCTGACTTGCTATAGCGTTTCCTTTCTTGAAAACCCGGCGCTGGCCGCTTTCTTGTCGGGAATTATATGTCACACTGATGACGCGCACACCGTTATGTGACCGCGAAGTACCGGAAACGTGGTGATAGCGTGAGGCAAGTACTCGAAGTAGATGACGATAATTGTTTTGTAGCAGGCACACTATCTCAATACTCGATTTTTTTTAGCCCACTGCAGTGCACTAGAGTGGACTAAAGTTGTCTTGCACGTGAACGCATTGTACCACTTGCCAGATGTCCGCAAGGTTTGAAAAGTGTGAAAGAAGAAAATGACTGTGCCGGCGACTTAATTTGCATATTCCGTTCTAGCAAGGCGACGCCTTGGTTTGCACTGAATATGCAAAGCTCGTAAATTATACATACAGCCACACAAAAGAGAACGATGAAGGATATCGTGCAAACGGTCGGTTTTTGTCTGAATCACCACTTATGACGTAATCACACAGTCAGACTTTTATCTCGGTAGGAGAGATTTTACCCTTCCCAAGAAGAAGTTAAATCAAGCGCAGGTTTAGAAAAGGCTCTAGAACCCAAAGATTGTTTATAAAAGGCTCTAAAAGGCCGCTTTTCGAGATTTCATTGTGACTGTGCTGCCCGTTCCACGCAGACCTGACATTTCTTTTGTTTTGTCTCCTAAGAGAAAGCAGGCTCATACGCTTAAGGTGGATCCGCCACACTGTCGGTTATAAAGACATATTGAAGGTTGTGCAACAACAACAAAAATTGTTTTTTTTTGCGTGTGTGCAGTTTGTTTTATTTGTTGCCTGTGAGCACTGGTACATACGCACTCTGGGGGATTGGCCAAGAAAGCTTGTAGTAGCCTATATGTGAACACTAAGACATTATTGTCAGCCCACTACTAAGCTGAACAAAGAAGAAAAAGAATAGCAAATTATCTTTCAAAAATTCAAATAAAGATGAATCAATAAAAAGAAAAGAGAGCTAATACTATATCAGAAGACCGAAATTTTGAGCAGAACAGACAGTTGAGTTTACCTCACCCTATGAAAATCGAATGTATGTCCAACATTTATTCACATTACCAATCATATCCCAAGTATTCGCCAAGACTCAAGAATATGTTAAAGCAGAGGTTATATTGGCATGCGTTTAGATTCTCGAATAAAAATACATGCTGCATCAAATACGTTTCTGTGGCAATGTCCCAAGCCGGAGGTGCCAAAACTGAGAACACTATCTGCAGTTAAATTTATACCTACTGCAGAAAACAGAACTATAGCACTCTTGTCCTGAATAATAAATTGTTCCGGCATGATGATGATGATGATGATAATGATGACGATGATGAATCCTTAGATATGGCTCATACCCACTCATGGGGATCGACCAAGAATTGATTACCTGAGCTAGGCGTTTTCAATATTGAATACTTATGAAAAAGCTATGTACGTAAAGCGAAAAGAGTCCTATAAGTGTTATTCTCCCGTTCAGACCAGCCAGAATAATCATTGTCTTGACTAACACTGAATGTGCTTGAAAATAATTCATACTTATATTAATCATAGTAAAAAACATAACTCTTTTTAATGTTAAGCTACTGCTACACTAATGAGACACAATTAGGCAGTTCAAGTCTCATTCGCTTTGTTTCGTAAAGATAAGCACAAGCGGCATAAAATTCCTCCTTGTGACTGAAGCCCACACTCGCAGCACCGAAGGTAAGTACATTCTCACTTGACAAATTCAGCCCCAGCTTAGAGAAAGGGATATCAAGTAGTCTTTTTCTCAGTAGTCTGTACCGGTGACATAATCAAAAATAATATTCTAGTGTTTCGAGTTCTAAACAAAAATTGCATAGAGGAAATTTCATCAGACCAGCCCTGTATGAATACAGATTTAACGGGGGGACACGACAACGTAGTCTAGTTAATGCGACTTCCAGTTGTCTGGCAGGGCACCACTGAATTTTCCACGGAAATTCTAAATGACTGAACTCTGCCCAGGACGTAATTAATTCTATGGCATCTGCACGAAGCGAAAATTTTCGGTACCTTATCGCAGTTACTGCGGCCACTTCAGCAAGGACCGAAAGTACTGCACAATTCAATGGAGCGGTGGATCTGCTCGGTGTACTGCCAATCTCAGAGATGGGCGATCCAGCAGCTCGAGGGGGCCATGACCAGGCAGAGGAGAACGGGAACTCGTGACCCGCAAGCGCGGGAACCCAAGTATCCTCCGTCGGGTCAGGTTCAACCCTCGAGTTCTTGTCCCAGTGTTTCTAGGACTGCATAGACTAGATTATTAGAAGGGTAGACTGCGCCCTGCGAGGCCGGCACCTACCCCACGCAGGATCCTGTGAATAAAGTCTTTTCTCTATCTCAATGCCGCTCGTGCTAGAGAGTAAGCAATTTCATTTAATTCTAATCCACTATGACCAGGTACCCATACTCACTTTATTAGCTTCAGCTGTGGGAGAACAAGCATGACAAACGTCGTTAAGGCCATTGATTTCGATGACTCTGTAAGCGATGTACAGACAGACAGAGAGTCGGTAATTATGATTGCATTACGAACATCCACTGGTAATTTTCGCAGCGCTAGAATATTTGCCAAGAATTCTGTTTCGAAAACGGAGGTCGGTAGTCTTACTAAAAAGACCAGCGAAGCAAACGGGAGCATATCCTTGCACCCGTCTTTTCTTCCTTTACTGAAGCATCTGTGGCTATTATGTTCGTCGTTCCTTTGTGTGCAAGACAATCTTGTAGTTGGCTGTTGAACTCCTTATTTGATCGTAATTTGGGCTTAGAGGGGAAAATATCATCGTATTCTATCTTAATATTGTGCATTTAAAACCTTTACTGCAGGCACATCTCGAATTTTCACACTTATTCAATCCAGTTGTTTTTGCACAAAGATAATCTGAGTCGTTCAAAACGATAGCCAATGGCCAAGAAAAAAGAAATCTGGATCATTTATAAAAACATATTCAGATCGTCTTCTCGAATAGATATAAAATTATAAGAATGTCTGAACAGTCAGGATACGAAAACGACAAGACAATATAGGCAATCGTGCTTCCTGATACATAACGTTATTCCTTACGAATCTTGGAAGTCCTAAACACAACCACAAGGCTTCTCGTTCAAGCTAAACCAAAGGCTTGAGTTTGTAATCAGGGCCACCTGAGAACATTCCACACCCAAATTTCAATATTGGTCGCATATACAGTTGGTATATCATCACCAGTGTGGTCCTGCGTAATACCTATCGACGGCTGCTCAGTCTGCGAAGAGTGCCTAAAGCACGTTGTGCTTTAGATGCAATGCTCTTTATGTGGGGAGTGCAGTTGAGTTTGTCATTATAAATAACAACCAAATATTTGAGTGACTCAACCTGTGGATTGAGCTCTTGTTTATAACAGAGTGAAATTAAGGCCGGATCAGCTAATGGGAATATCAGCAATGCAATTTAATGACGTTTAATGTCACGCAGATTGTATCTAGCCATATCTCCAGGATATTAATATATGTCTGTATTTTTATATAAAGAGTATACGTCACTATCGGCCGCAAAAAGTGCAATATGATCTGCATATACAAACACCTTCACGTCCTGGCAATTTGGGATTGAGCTCATTAATATGTTAAAAAGTAGTAGCGGCGACAAGACAGCACCCTGCGGGTCACCGTGAGTTTGCTTGAACTTCAATGTTGCACAACCATCTTTAAGACAATCAAATTCTCTTTGCTTCAAAAATTCTCTGACCCACGCAGTTATGTATTTTGGAAAATTGTGGCTTTGTAAACTGAGTGTTCCCCACTGTCATATATGCTTTTGCTATGTTTGATGTCACTAGGGCAACATGTTGTCTTCTTTTGCGAGCAAGTTGAGTGTGGCTTTTCAAGTCTGCGTGCGCACACCATATTGAGCAATCCAATCTGAAGCCAATTTGGTTTGGATTTAATATTAACTTTTCCTCCATCCAGAGTGTTTTTCTTTTATGCAGCACCCTCTGAATAAGCTTCACCATATTTGAAGTAAGCGAAATGGGTCGAATATTTTCAATGTTATAGCCAATTCCTTGTCTTTTTTGTATCGGAATTATTTTAGCTAATATCCAATGGCACGGAATCCAGGTATACTTTAAGGAACATCGTCGTCGTTGTTGCTTCGTCACGTGATCGCACGAACGTCTCGAGAAAGGAGCGCGTGCTTCAGAACAGTTGAGAAGCCATGGCTGCGCCCTCGATGCTCGGATCGCTGCTGGTGCTGGTGCTCGTCTCCTCATTGCCACGGGGCATACAGTGCTGCCGTGCGGAGCACTTCCCGATCCCCGACCAGTGCGGCTCGGAAGGCGGCATTCCGCCGGGCGGCCCCCACTCGCTGCCCTGGATGGTCACGGTGCGCGTGGAGGCCATGAGCGACGTCCAGGATCCGGAGGACCTCCTGCCTTGCCCCAGCGTGTTCCAGGCTGCCAAGGAGGATGGTGCGTCCGACCGTCCCGTCCGAGTGGGCCCAGATTCCTTCTTCGGCCACCTGGCGCGAGTAGCCGTCACCCACAAGATGACCTCGACGTGCGCAGGCGCCATCGTCACCGCAAGGTACGTGCGTGGCCACCCTTTTTTTTATTATAAAATTACCTGCAGCGCCACGAGGGCATAATTGCAGGGGGGTAACACGATTAATCACGTAAAAGCACATATGTTTACACAAAGACAAAGATAAAAGAATGAGCTAATAACAAAGTGGTGTATGCAACAAAGAGGCGACATATGGAAAATTTGTATGTAAAAACAGCTGGAACTGGGAAAGTGTTTTACATTCTGCTATACCTTTACGAAGTCTGTTCCAAAGCGTGGCGGTGTGCGGAAAGAATGAATAATGAAACACATTTGTGCGGCATCGCGTTTCAAGTACCTTACAGTCATGATCACAACGCATAGAGATGAAGGGGGGGGGGAATGTACAAGTTTTTGTTAATTTGAACAGAAAAATTAGTTGCAGTTAATTCTTTTATCGTATTTAGAGTTGGCTGAGTGGTTCCTCAACACCTTGGCGCAAGCTATTTTGGGCAATAGGTCATGAATCCGACGGTGGCTTGCATTATCAGAGAAAGCGTGGCTAGTCACCCACAGTGTCCTTGAGATTGTGGGACACCAAAGGAGCGTTGACAATTTTCATATCAGTTTCATGCTGTTGTATCACTTCACGTTCTTTTGGAGCCACGCGATAATATAGAGCAGGAGTGCCCTTGTCATTGTCACTGTGGGTGACCTTGGAGTACATTCCATGGGATTCAACTCGGCAAATTGTTCAAGTCTGCGCGCGCGTTCAGAGGACATAGTGTGACTGGCAACTATAGTACTTGTACCCTTTAGTGCTGCAGAAAGCTTACCAGTCCTATTCCATTTTAATGTCTAAGCATGCAATGGAAAGGCGAAAAGCACATGCACGTTTCAGAGGAAGAGCTCTACAATCGTCTCCCAAGGGCATTAATCGTGTCGCGATGCGATGACATTGAGCCGCTGGAGCGCTTGTGAAAGTCATGGTCCGTCGCGGCGAGGCGTCGCAGCTGCGCTCGCGCTGAGCCTCATGGTTGCGCTACCACGTGACTATAAGCGAAGGTGAACCACCAACAGACGCTCTCTTTAACCTCTTCGTGATTTTACACTATCTCCAGTGGCTGTCATGACGTGAGCTGTCCGATTGGGTGATATCACGAGCAACAGATGCTGTCGAGCGGGGGAACAAGATGTTGTCTGCTAGCAGATGAGTGCAATTCCTTCTTATTATCCTTTCATGGAGAAGATGAGCGCGCAGTGAGATAGAGATACGAACAAACGAACACAGCGTTGTGAAGAGAAGAGCGAAAATATAGTGCCACTTTTCAATTTTCCACCATGCGCAACCCCTCAAGCGTACGGCCATTAACTTAATTTTAATTTCTGAGTGGTTTCACAATCAAATTTGCGATAAAGCTTAACTTTAATGAAAGTCTGTACAGCTATATGTTCGAGTTATTTTGAATTGTCGCAGGATCATGCTCTGCACATGACAGTCCAATTAGTGGACGATTACAGAATTTAAGAAGTGATGATGTGGTCGCTTTCCACATCACTAGGTTTCTTCATTTATTAGCAGACCGTTTCAAAATGTGTATTGTTATTAAAACAGGGGTCACAAGCTAATTGTTTTTGTACCCTTCTTGCGTGAGCATCTGAGTACGAAAAGATTGGCCGATCCCACGTACAATGGGAATTGATGATGCGAAGCACGAATGAGGAAGGTTGATATGTCACTTTAAAATCAGCACAACGTTTCGAGGTGGAGGTAAATTAAGCCGTACATGACTTCTGTGCTATGATTATTATGTTTAAATGTGTCGTTTACCTTCGTCATCTATTCACGTCGCGTGACACCAAATTTAGTATATGTGGAGCTACTTTGTCATCCATTGACGTCACGTAACACCAAATTTGGTATATGTGGAGCTAGCAAAATGGCCATGAGCGCATCATGAAGGGCCCAACATACTCCAACTTAACGTTGACGCACGCGCACGCTGGGAACAGTGACGCTACGTTAGAAAAACGTGAGCATTCTATAGTCTGACGCCAGGCGCAACCGGCGCGACCAGTGTCCGTCGGCGCGGCATAACTATAGTGCGGCATGACGGCAATCAGCGCAAAATGCGACATGCTGCATTTCGCGCCAATGCGTTACCCAGACACCACTGCGTTTGCTTTTTTTGTGACGGAAAGAAGCCGGACGTGCTGAAACGCGCCTACATCGAAGCAACGCAGCGCGGCGCACGCCTGCGAGTATGGCAGGACCGGCGCCTGGCGTGGCAACGCCGGTGTGACGCGACGAAACAAAACGTGCGCGCCGGGTCACGTCGAAATATATTGGCGCCTTGACTGTGGCATGTAGTCACGTTCTCAGATGACACGCACTTCATGATTATTATGTTTGCACCAGTCACATACCTTCGTCATCCATTGACGTAACGTAATACCGAATTTGGTACATGCAAAGCGAAATGGCCGCGAGTGCATCATGAGCGTAGCCTGTAGTCATGTTACATGATACGCTACGCATCCCATGATTATCATATTTTCTCCAGTCGCATACTTTCCTCATCCAATCACGTGCCTTATTACCAAATTTGGCATACGGGATGCTAGCGAAACGGCCACGAGTGCATCATGAACGTAGCATGTAGTCATGTTGATACATGACACGAATCTCACGATTATCATGCTTGCACCAGTCACATACCTTCATCATCTATTCACATACTGTAATACCAAATTTGGTATATGTGACGCTAGCCCGACGGCCATGAGCGCATCATGAGCGTGGCAGGAAGTCAAGTTGTTACATAGCACGCATGTCATAATTTTCATGTTAGGGTCTGTCGCTTGTGTTCACCATGCCATCATGTCATACAACACCAGTTTTGGAACAAGTCATGTGAACGAAACCACCAGAAAAGCAGCAAGACTGAAATGTATATCATGACATTCATGACATGCATGTCATGATTTCGTGTTATTACTAGTAAAATATGCTCGTCATACAGTCATGTTATGCCATACCAAGTTTGGTATCGATACCGTTATCCGAACAGCCAGGAGAGCTAAAAGTCATAGGCGGATAGATAGATAGATAGATAGATAGATAGATAGATAGATAGATAGATAGATAGATAGATAGATAGATAGATAGATAGATAGATAGATAGATACGCTCAACGTCACCGAAGTTCGCTAAGAAATGCTTCGCGTTTAATAACGCAATAGCTTTACGCCTCTACACGGCTTAGCGTCTCTAGTATTAGGATTTAGCTTATCGTCCGCAAGGGCTCCGTAAACGCAGTCTGCCATTAAAAATGGCTGGCAGGCTGCGTCCGCTGAGATGCTGCGGATGCCTGTCTGAAACTGCTTAATAATGCTTTTTATGTTTTGTCTGACTCTACAACGCTCGATTCTCTGCAAGCTCAATGCGTAATCTCACTCTGCACAGGCACGTTCTGACGGCGGCGCACTGCCTGTTCGCATCGCGTTACAAGCCGACGTACCGCGTCTTCCTGCGCAACGGCAGCTCGACCGGCCACGGAGCCCACGCCCGCTCCTACGTGGGCGTGCCGGCGTCGGCCGCGCTGTGCCACCCGGGATGTCGGTTCCACGGCACCACGCGGGCTGTCAACGACCTTGCCGTGCTCGTGCTCGCCGAGCCCCTCAACATTCAGGTGCGCATATGTCAGCGCAGTATAAACTGTGCTCTGCGTCAGGAGGTGGCGTAGAGCGAGTGCAGTCGGTCATAGCTACACTGTCGTCGGAGGTCAGCGTCAGGAGATGACGTAGGGCCAGCCCAGTCGGCCAGAGCTACGCTGACGTCGGAGATCGCGAGGGCACAACCGGTCGGCACGGAATCCAGCGAGCGAGTCCCCCTATACATCGTGCGGGTCTCGCTCGATGGATTCCGTGCCGACCGGTTGTGCCCTCGCGATCTCCGACGTCAGCGTAGCTCTGGCCGACTGGGCTCGCGCTACGTCATCTTCTGACGCTGACCTCCGACGACAGTGTAGCTATGACCGACTGTACTTGCTCTACGCCACCTCCTGACGCCGACAAGAGCTCTCGCAAGTGGTGCCCCGTCCTCGGACTCCTGTGACCATGTTTCCATCTTTCCTATCTCTCCTATCCCCTCGATATGTCATCGCTATCTGGCTTACCTCCTCACGCCTCTTTCTCTTTTTCTACGCCTTTATACCTATCCGTTTAATTCCTCCTCACCCCCATCCTTTGTGAGCTACTGTTGAGGTGTCGCTCGCTGAAGCAGACAGTTATGGGGCTTACTTTTCTCTTCCTTTCTCTCTTAGAACCACTTTGTGTGTGCAGTTTGCGTGGAGTGTGAGCTCTTAAGTATTTAAATAGCTGTCTTCACGAGCGCATTGTACAAAAAATCATTCTAGAAGCCAACAATGCACAATATCTGCTCTCGTGATACACATCCTTTATCTAGCACATATTTTAACAGCGTCTAAGTTGTTGGTACATGTGCAGCTTTTGTAGAGACGTAATCGCTAACAGCTTTCCTTTATAGTTTCATATTGCACGTTAACATTCACGCGCACGTCTCGTTTTCAATTTGGGAAGTTCGTGACGTAGCTACCATCACCTTGGCTACTTAAGCATCCCTGACTAAACGAACACTCTCTCGCCTCTTGTAAAAGAATTGGGAACTCGTTACCCCTTGACAAGAATTTTGTAGTTTATCATTGCCCTCGAGAGGAAAGTATTGAACAGGTGAATTTTAGTGGTACGTACGCACGAAACAGAAGCCTAGAGGTTTACAAAGAGGGCTCTTCTTCCATGGATTGCGATGCTACGAGCAATGAAAGGGAAAATGATTGGTGTAACCTTACGGGACAATAATAGAAGAGTGTGGATAAGGAAGCCAACGGGTGTTAAGGAAGCCTTATAGTCAAAACCAAGAAATAAGAATAAGCAGGGCATGTAGCGCGTAAGAAGAATAACCGCTGATCATTACCATAGTGGATTCCAAGTGAAGGTAACTGTGCAAAGAGGAGAAAATAAGTTGTAGGTGGGCAAGTGAGATTCAGAAGTTCGCTGGTATAATGGGGCCGCAGCAAGCGCAGGTCTGGGGTGCTATTCTGGACACTGATTCCACCATATTGCCTAACTTTGTAATGGCGGCATTTGAGGCCAATCACATTGGTCGTAGCAGACCATTAGGCCAATCAGCATCGATCAATGGCGGAATCTGGCAACATGGCGGAATTTGATAGTGCCCATAATTTCACCCCCGGTTTCATTAGCGGACGATGGGAGAGTGTTTTTGCCCTGCAGCGGGCGCTGCGAGGCTGATGACGATGACGATGCTGATGATAGGAGGCCTTTAGAGAACAGACGAGTCTACTTGCTCTCTCTAAGACATCTGCTGATCTACACATGTGGCTTCTCAGGGTTCCGGCGGCGTGAGCACCCTGTGCCTCCCCTGGCCTGACGTGCCGGTGTACGGCTCGGTGTTGTGGATGGCGCGTCACGAAGGACGTCCCAAGGTAGGCTGGGCCGGCGGAGGAGCAGGCCGCCTGCCCACCGCGCTGACCAGAGAGTCCGTTCAGCTCGTCAACTGCTCACTGCTCCCTCAGATGGCGCATGACGCGGGTGAGCACCTTTCAAAGCTTTTCCTTTCTTAAAAGGTGTGCCTAATACGAACCTACCCCCCCCCCCTGCACTTCAGATGTAATACTGTCAAATATTCCGCAATAAAGGTCTGACCACATGTATTTGTTGTGGCACGTCAGCGCGTGGCTTTTTGACGTGGCGCGCCGTACTTCCTATCAAGAGAGGGCGTGCAGCTTCGCATAGGCACGCGTCCTCGCTCTTTATAGAGAGACGCAGCGTCAAAAATCCATGCGCTTACGTGCTGCAGCGCGTACGTGGGGTCCTGTCTTAAGAATTTGCGCCACTTTTAGAATGTAGTGGTGTATACGCGAACAAAGTTAACACTGCCCAGGCACAGCGAACGACGTGAAGGTCGGTGCACCTGAAGCCGCGCCAGGGTTATGCATTGCGAACTGACAAGTATGACACGTAAGATCGTTTGTGCGAAAGTCAAGCACCTATACAGCACAAAAAAATTACGGCATATTCACGGGGTGAATGATGATGAATGGGCGAAGCTCCGGAGGGATTCATCGGTAAACTGTTAATCTTCCGTGTAATTCACCCAGTCGATCATCATGTAAAGACGTGAGAAACGCTGTGTGTGTATATACACAAATCAACTTTTATTTGTTCTTAGACGATGGATGGCTTGCGATGTCCCTTGCCTCGCGCGCTCGCACATCGGGATTCTGTCTGCGAGCGCGCGCTGCTGCCGCCTTGCGCTCTCTCCGCTGTGCAGCCTTATCCATCCGGCGACTCCGAGCGCGCGCCAACAGCGAACGGATTTTATTACAACGCTCCCCCTAGCGTACGTCGCCGCACTAAATCGAACGATTGCCTTCAACCAATGACACGCGCCATATGTGACATCATGCCCCGCCGCGGTGGTCTAGTGGCTAAGGTACTCGGCTGCTGACCCGCAAGTCGCGGGTTCGAATCCCGGCTGCGGCGGCTGCATTTCCGATGGAGGCGGAAATGTTGTAGGCCCGTGTGCTCAGATTTGGGTGCACGTTAAAGAACCCCAGGTGGTCAAAATTTCCGGAGCCCTCCACTACGGCGTCTCTCATAATCATATGGTGGTTTTGGGACGATAAACCCCACAAATCAATCAATATGTGACATCATTCCTATTTTATAAGATCTCGCGTCTTTCATCAACAAGTACCGCTTTCTAGTTTATAACATCTTGCATCTTTTCATCATCAGCTACAAGTACCACCATCTAGTAAACACTACAAGAATTAAACGAGAGGTGGCTACATACAGGAGACGGTACCGCCATCTAGTGAACACTGCAAGAACTAAACTAGAGGTGGCTACATACAGGGGACGGTACCGCCATCTAGTGAACACTGCAAGAACTAAACTAGAGGTGGCTACATACAGGCTACAGGGGACGCACAGCCCACGCCCTAAGGAGCTTCGCCCCTAAAATGGCAGAAATCTTGAGGCCTGTTGGCATAATGCTATAGTGCCTCCACGAGATCCACCTGTTCTGTTTTAGCTACTAGACGTCCGCAGCAGCCGTACGGACGCAGCCTGCCAGCCACTCGCAATGGGAGGCTGCATCCGTATACGGCTGCTGTGTACGCGCAACGTAATCTGCCCAATGAGAGAAGACGGCGACGTTGACGAAGAGACTCTCGCGCAGTCAGTTTGTGTGGCATTCTGTAGTCAGTGTTTTCAACTGCACCCGAAGACAACATTATCAAAAGTGGGATCGCTTCCACTCGCCACCGAGAGTAAATGTGAGTTTCATCGCACGGAACTGCATGGTTATCCTAACCATATGACGTAACGCGCCGAAGACAGAGTCAACACGATTGATGGTTGGGAGATGGACTCTGGCCATGGTGACGCGATCACGGCTCGTGACCTCCTACAAGTCCTTCAAGAAAAGGACAGACTCCTGTGTACACTGCTGGAACGAGTGACTGTGGCCGGCGCGGAGGAACCTAAAACAGACCCAACGTTCCAGGTGATCTCTGGCTTAAGCCACAACATCACTCTCTTCGACGGCTCCGAAGACGCTCCTTCAGCGCGCGAGTGAATTGAAATATTCGTCGAACTTCTATAACCCTCACGGGCGGCCAGCTGCCTACACGCTATAGATACTGCCAAGGCCCGCTTGGTTTGAGCTGCCAAGGATTGGTACCGCTGGAGTAGCTCCCAGATCACGTCGTGGGAAGAGTTCCAAGATATGTTTACGTCGAAGTTTTGTCAGCCAGAATCGCGTTGCGGAAAGATGGCGCAGGATGCAAGAGCACGTGCAGCACCGTAACGAGAGCACGATCACCTATACTTCCATCCAAGATGCGTCTTGGCCACGAATTCAAACTCGAATTTACAGATACGCGAGAACAAGTAATCACGTTGCGGTGATGACGATGACGACGGCTTCTTTAACGAACAACAACGGCGGGAGCTTTTTGGATATCGCAACCGAAGCCTTGTGTGATCACCACATTTAGAGCGGGTGCCTGTCCATGACAAGTGACCATCGACTCGAACCACATAGCAGATCGACGCCTGGGATTGCCGTCCGTCAACCACCACAATGTCTACGGCCACATCACACGTGATTGTCCATAGCATAAGCGCCCACTCAACTGTCATCGTTTCCAAGCAACTAACCACACGCAGCGCAACAGCCAATCATTTTCGCGCTACGAGTCGATCGAACGTTGCCAGAGCAGAACTTCATTGCATCGGGGCCGGTCATGTGTTGCTCAAGGAAGTGATGTTCAACGACGACTTCGCTCAAGTAGGCCTCATCGACATGGGCCGTTCAGTTTACTTGTTACAGACGTCAGCGGCGGCACGATGCGGCATTGAGATGATTCAAGAACCTACTGATATGTACATATGATTTCGGCTGCAGTTGTGTTCCCGCGACTAGAAGCCATGGCCACAGCTAGGCAAAGATCAGCACTGATGGTGTCGCCGCCGAGAATGTTACCGTTCTAGTGGTTCCCGACGACGGACAAAGCGTTGACATGCTGGTGGCCAGAAAGGCTTCACCAACCTGCCCTTCGTCACTTATGCAAAAGTCATGAGCACTCTTTGTTTCTACCAACTACTGGTCACAGTATGGAATCCCGGCTGCGGCGGCTGCATTTTCGATGGAGGCGAAAATAGTATAGGCCCATGTGCTCAGATTCGGGCGCACGTTAAAGAACCACATGTGGTCGAAATTTTCGTAGCCCTCCACTACGGCGTCTTTCATAATCATATTGTGGTTTTGGGAAGTCAAACCACACATATCTATCCACTTAAACGATTGTCCTTTCGCAGGTCTATGGCCATTCGATAGCGATCAAATCTGAAATTGACAGCCAGAGAAGAACGTGAGCTTCAAAAGGACTCTCTATATTGCTACATCCAGCGATCACTCCGTGACTAACTTTCGTGGACTCTGTTGACGTGATGTGTTTCCTTCGAGGGATATATAGAGCACAGGGACGGCGGGCGATCCTGAGCAGCCTGTTTGGGATGCCAGAATGAAAGAAGACGAGTGTAACAGGAACAGCGCCCGAAGCACGTGTACCAACAAGAATACATTGAAGATGCTTCATGGCTACAAGTGAAGTTTTCGTGCATCGCAACTTCAGCAACTTAGCGATACGGAAATACCTTCGCAACCAACTCGGGAATTAAGGCAGCATGTGTGTCAACGTTTACTGGAGGCCCCCAAGTACACGAAAGATGCCTACAATCACCAGTACCATCACCGATGTATACACTCTATAAAGCCTTGCGAAGTTGGCGGAATAGTATTTCTGAGTAAGGGCCCTATAAACGCCAGTTATATGACTAAAATTCAGCCAAAATATCGTGGACCACTCGCTGTCACACAAGTTTTGCCTGCGGACATTAACAGCATCGCTGACTTACATCCCGAATGGGGAGGCTCATTTGCAACAACTGCCTACGCCTCACTGCTAAAGAAGCTGTGTCTTACGTTTAAAACATCACATCATGACTATGAAGCCTCCGAAGAATCCCAACAAGACCAAGATAATCCAGTGCGACATTTTCAGTGTTAACACGTACAACCAGCCATGGTCCGAGACTGCGGGATTTTATTTTTCTGCCCATGTGTTTAAAGAACTCCAGCGTGCTATGTTCCTAAGATGACCGACGTTTGGTGTTGTTATTCTTTATTTGTGTGGCTTTCCGCATCGTGGTCAATCCAGTCAAGATGGCCGGAAAATATTACATTTCGTTCAGAGTTTTATACTGGTGATTTTTTTATGCGTTGCGATGAGCCTTTAGCGATGTCAGTGTTTGGGCGTTGTCATCTGTTTGTAATTTTATTTCCGTCTTGTTTATCTTGTTTCTATCGTGCGTAATTTATTAAGTATTCGAAATAGGAGAATGACCGAGCATTTGAATGGAAAAGCAAGAAGACAACTTTGCCGCAGTTAAGTAACATTGCCAAAAGCACCTTAACCGAGGACGTTAAGGACCACCGAATGTTGGCACATTGCTTGCGCCTCCACGAGAAGCACGTGTTCCGTTTTGGCTAATCACAGATGTCGACGACGTTGACGAGGAGACTCACGCTCAGTTTCGCCTGTGCGGCTTGTCTGTTCTTCAGCGTTAAGCAAATTGTCCTTCTTTTACACATCTAGTGTGCTTCAAGGACGTTGCGAAGTCAACAGGCTTGAACAAATGTATCCGTTGCAGTGAGTCAGCGTGTGGAATTTAACTCGGCGCCATTCCCTCTCCCTATGAAGAGAGTGCGCCCTCTCATGAAGAGAGTGCATCCACGCATCCTCTCTCGCTTTAAAGGGAGAGGGCGTGGCGTCACGTCATAGCCCCGCGCTATAACGTGACGCGCTTCGACGGATGCGTGTGGTAAGGCTAAGCCTTTACCAGCTGCAGCATGCGCGCACTCCCTCTCGAGGGAGGCTTAATTTGGAGAGCAAGAATGTGTCGCCGAAAAAACGTCACCGATTGCAACCCGTGAAATCGTCTGTTCAACGCTGAGCCCGTCATTTCGCGTCGCGAAGCGCTAATAAACGATGATGAAAATGCAAACTAAATAGGTGAGACTCGTAGTGAGAGTGCAACACTGTGTACTGTATACACAACAAGCAAATGAAAAGATTGTCCGCTTCGACAGTGAAGCTGGCTTTCTGAAACATGAAAGCGCAGTTTCCAAAACTGCGTTGTCATATGCCTCAGAAAGCCAACTTATTGCTCAAAATTGGTTCCTTTTTGCACAAAACGAAAGAAATCGTTTCTTTCGTTTCTGCAATAAAGGACTCTAAAGCCCTCTATAGGCGGCAGAATTTCGCCAGTGTAATCAAAACGTGCTACAACGCCTGGGAGGGGCCTCGTTCAGTTTTCGTTGCTATAAACACCACTGCTTACCTCCAAGCACGGCATACTTGTGCTTAGGTTTTTTTTTTTTAGAGGTAAGCTTGCCATCTGTAACAACAACAACAAAAAACTGTTTGGACCATTGGGTGGATATCTGGTGGCTGTGTAGTATTCCACCACGCAATTCCACGTCATTCGCTTTTTTGTTTCCGTGAACCAATCGGAACCCGCCACAGTGATCTACTGGTTATGGTACTCGACTGCTGACCCATACAGGTCGCTGGTTCGAATCTCAGCAGCGGTGCTCACATTTTGATGGAGGCGAAAACGCTGTAGGCCGATATGCGCTCACATTTAGGTAAGGACGTAGTAAAGGTGGTCGAAATTTCTGGAACCATCCACTACGGCCTTTCTAATAATGATATCGTAGCTCTGGGACCTTGAACTCGAACAGGTATCACTATGTGAGCCAATTACGAGCAGGTGTGCGTATTTGGTATAGTAATGCTAATGTCGCTACCTGGTTTTACCCTGCCTTCGCATGTTCAGGCGGCGAACCCACGAATGAGCTGTGTGCTGTGAGCATCGGTGGTCTGCGTCAAGTGGTCGACCCCGGCACCGCACTCATGGTGGACACCGTTCAGGGCTGGGTCCTCGTCGGCCTGCTGTCGTGGCTGGAAGACACCCGCGCAGTCTCCAGCGTCGCCGTCTTCACTGACGTGCGGGCCCTGATGGCGTGGCTGCTGGAGACGGTCTTCAAGACATTCTGACGATCTCGAGCAATATATGTTTGTGTTTTGAACAATGTGTCGTGTCGCTGCTTTGTACGGCAGCTTTTTTAAAAAAATGTTATTCGTAGTTTGAGATCTCGTGCACATTTCGACTATGGTCGCAGGTGTACTCACCACGGCAGACCCCGGCCGTTTTTATTATGAGAACGATGTGTTTTCGGAAATTTATCCCGGAAGTTCGACCACTGAATCATATGAACAGAAATCGCACCGATTTTCAGGCGTGAGAACCGGGCCATGCTAATCGGGAAAAACGAGCTTTCCATTTTGTTCACCGTTTTTTCGCATTGTTCATTGAGCCACAAATCTTTGTTGTTCGCCCGTGTGTAAATGTCATGCTGGTCAACTTCATTGGCATTCAATTGGTGGTTACTGCAATGTATGCGGCCAATAAAACAGACAACGCTGCTTTATGTGTCTTACCTAGCTGCATAATACCTTATCGCTGCCAATACTGTGACTTTCCGGTGATCAGAATTTCAGCAGTTCTGGATGTTTCTGGCGAGTTTACCACAGCTTTTACTCGATTGAATACGGAGAAGCAACGTATAACAAGCATACTTGAAACTCTGGTTTTCTGTTTGCCCAGACTAGCAGAAACTACGTATATATGACACTTGTGTTTATTATATATGATGCGAACGTGACTCTGAATAGCCCGCGTGGGAAAAATAGAACCATACACAGAGCTATTCAACTCGAAGAAGTGTAGATCACCAGCGAAACCGTTCAGAAAACGACACAAAGGTGGCGCAGAATTACTAACCATAGCCAATCGCACACCCTGCTACTAAATCCAAAATGTCCTTTCAGATAGAACATTTTCTGAAAAGTCTTTCACTTGATCATCGTTCTACCACTCAGCCACGCTGGTGCTTGGGACTCCTTGGCAAACGGGCCTTAGGCAAACTTAACGTCGGAAAGGGAATCTCGTTATCAGCAATAAAGCATTCTAGAGCTGCAAAAGAATAAGGTGTCACAGAATGTGAATTGCGCTATGAGTGGGTCATCGAATTCTCCGACCCTTTACAAAAGCTTGACCTTCTTCAGCTTGTTGTTTATGTTGATGACGATGATGATTCCCGGAAGGATGGCACTACCCACCACGGGGGATTGGCCATGAGGCGTGCGGCAGTAGAATTTGTGAAACAAATTAAATAAAATACAATTTATTATTAAAATGGAGAAAAAAATCAGAGGGGGGACAATATGCGAAAAAAAAAACTAAATAGGGACATGAATATTCATGAAAATTTGGTATCTTCCAATGCAATGCTGCTTGAAGGTAAAGATTTTAACAAATAATATATTTGATATATTTAAAGTGAAATGATAGATGAACTATATTGTCCTAGGTGCCCTGCTTGATTTAATATGACATTCTCTTTGAGTATTTTAAATAACTGAATATAGCGTAGTATATGATCCTCTCACAGTGTCCTAGTACCGACGACCCCAGGGAGAGCAATGCCGATGTAGAAAGCTCAAGGCCCCTTCTTTGAAAAGGTGCTTTCAGAAATCTTTGCCTTAGGTTGTGATAGCTTTGACACCACAAGAAGTGTTCGATTGTTTTTGCTTCATTACAAAATATACATTGGGGTGATGGAACGAATCCAGGCCTGTGTAAGTAGAAGTTTATTGACGGTATTCTGCATCGCAATTTTGTTACTGTAACTTCCAATTGCCTTGTGCTGCACCGTGAGCTGTTCCACTGGTACCTAAGGTGCTGGAAATTTGTGTCGCTAAGTACAGAAGGTTGAGTATGTTCCTCGTGCAGACTATAAGTTCTGAATTGTGTGGACGTGTTATTGCGGGATGGTTTTGGAATATTTAAGACAGGTCCTTTAACAGATTCTGCCGCTAAGGAGTCCACTGCTTCTTTTAACTCCAATGCAGTGTGGCCTGGTACCCGAACTAAGCAGACGTTCCGCACGTGATTTGGCATATACGAGTAAATTTCTGCGAGCAGCTGGACGAGTGAGATGCTACTAGCGCAGTGCACATGGTCAAGGCATCTGTTAACATCACTTAAAGAAATGGGTGATGGGAGTTCACGCAGTGGAAGAATAGTTGCCATTAATTCTGCCTGGAATATTGTTGTGAAATTGGGCAAGAAAAGAGAAAAGGACCAACTAAGATCCGTTGAATAAATTCCCACTCTGGCCTTCACGTCAATTACAGAAGCATCTGTGGCTACCACTGGGTTTATCCGCACGCTCTTGAGGTGGTCTTCCTACAACCCTTTGAAGTACCTGGTGGGTAATAGTGTAGCCTCTCTTGGAAATATATAATCAGGTTCTATTACCGGTGTACGAGTAAATATGTTTGGGTAAATTATATCACGAAGTGATACTCGGAATGGTTGCAAATGTTTCTCCGCGAATATTATTCGAGGCCTATGTAGCCTAGACCATTCACATTGAAAAAATGCGGAAGGCTCGCTAAGGAACACATATTGAGAGCGCCTGCGTGGGGAGGCAAATTTCTTTAGGTACGTTTTAACTGTTATCATGTGGAACCTAATTTGAAGAGATGGGAGGTATGCTTCGTGATAAAGTATGTCGTTGGCTACAAATTTCGGAAGGCCGAGACATCAACGTAGCGTCTCACCTTCTAAAGTTAAAAGCTGGTACTCGGCTGCTGACCCGCAGGTCGCGGGTTCAAATCTCGACTGCGGCGGCTGCATTTCCGATGGAGGCGGAAATGTCGTAGGCCCGTGTACTCAGATTTGGGTGCACGTTAAAGAACCCCAGGTGGTCAAAATTTCCGGAGCCCTCCACTACGGCGTCTCTCATAATCATATGGTGGTTTTGGGACGTTAAACCCCACAAATCAATCAATAAAGTTAAAAGCTGGCATAATTTATAAATGGCTTCCCCAGAGAACAATACACAACCGAACTCTAATATTGGACGGACGTACATACAATAGATCATTAACAAAGTTTTCCTACGCATTCCAAACCGACTTCTGCTGATTCGCTTTAACAATCCAACTGCACGTGAACCTTTGGCTGCTATATACTGAATGTGCGAGCTCCAATTAAGCTTAGCTGTGTATATTTTGCCTAGATACCTCAATGAATTTACCTGAGGAATATAGGCCTCTCCATACGTTAGTGAAATACGTGCAGGAAAAGTTAGTGGGAAAGCCAGAAGGGCATTTTTGTTAACATTCAAAGTTAAACTCAGACCATTAAGCCATATTTCAATGTCATCCAAGTATGCCTGTAGAATGTTGTACAGCGAACGTATGTCGCTGGAAGAAGCAAATGTCGTCTGCGTACACGTACGCTTGCACCTCGTCACGCAGAGGAATTGAGCTTAGTAAAATATTGAATAAAATGGGTGAGAGAACTGACCCTTAAGGCACTCCCCTTGTTTGTCGGTATGTTTAAGAAGAAGAGTCGTTCTGCGAGCAATAAAATGTTCGCCCACTTAAAACATTTCGTACCCATTCAACTATATACTCGGGAACTTTGACGCTTCGTAGTCTAATAACCAATATAGTGCGTTCTACGCTGTCGTATGCCTCAGCAATATCCAAGACCACTGAAGCAGCGTATTGGTTTTTGTGGAGAGCAAGCCTAATAATTCTACTTTATAAGTCAACATGAGCACACCATATCGAACAGCCCGGCCTGAATCCTATTTGAGATTTGCTTAAACAATGATTTACTTCATTCCATTATTCAAGATGTTTATATAATAATTGCTCTATTCGCTTTACGAGATTTGAAGTGAGGAAAATAGGCCAAACGCTATCTATGGCATTACCATGCAGCGCCCTGTTTTTCCAACAGTGGTACACTTTTGGACGCTTTCCAATCTGAATGATTCCATGCGTTCCCTATAGAAAAATTTACAAAGGTAAGGACATCATTGGGGGGTGAACCAAACGTAATTTTCATCACGGCTGTAGAGATATCAGGTCCCGGTGATGAATCCTGGAGTGTCTTTACTACCTCTGTCACTTCTTCTAATGTAACCACGTTATGTTCGTTAGCTTTTTCTGTAACAGGTATATGGTAAGGTAACACTGAGCCATTTCGCAACTGTATCAAGTGACTGTACTTATTCTGCGGACGATAAAAAGGTAGATTATAAATTTATTGGTTGCGGGACCATCTTTTTTCGTTGAAGGAAACTAAACAGGGCTTCATGTTTTGTCTCTGACAAATATATGTACCGTTTGGAGTTGTAACTATATTTTGCTTTCTCAATCCTAAATGTAGCAGAAGCATTCTTGTAGACTGTCCAGTTACGTGGGTACTAGTGGTAAAGTAATTTCTTCCGAGCGGCTTTATGTCGCCTATAGTCGCGATCACAGTCCTAATTCCACCGTGGCGAGTAAGCTTCACCTTTAGTAGGTTGCACAGTGAATTGGCACAGTGAAGGTTGCACGTCTGAAGCGCTCAAACTCGAGTCGACTCCGTGAACTAAACCTTTAACGCACGCAAAATGGGCAGGAATAAATGGGCTCACCGGATGTGAGGCAAAGGTAGAGCACTTTGACAGGTCTGATACACAGGCCTGGTCTGGAGAGCAACAAAGAATGCCGCCTCTGCTGAACTTTCGGACATCAGTGATTTGCTGGTAGTAAGAGGTCGCTTTCCTCAGTTCCTTCAGAATTACCTTTGGGTTCTTCAAGCGGATTGTTCACCCTTGGTCGGCATTAGCGCAACTGGAACACTATAGTGGGGACCGCTGCGCAAAAAAGCCTCCGCAGGCTTGTCATTAGTTGGAAGAGAGGGCGTCCAGAGGGAACACCTCTGGCCAAGAGAAGAAAGAGACACAATTTACTCACAGTACGAGCAGAACAGAAAGTTGTGAAAAATTAAACAAAATCACAAAAATACTACCGCCCACCCCGAGACCGAAACATGTCAAAAAGATTGCGCCAAACCACCAGCGCGTGCAAGTCTAAAGGTCTATGCAAAGTTGTCACAAATCAGTTGCTGCAGCGAAAGTTGATCGATA